AAATCCAGCTTGTACTTCTGGGAGTTCTTGGTCCACATACTGTTGAAGCCTTTTGAGCATAACCTTGCTAGCGTATGAAATGAATGTAATTGTATGGTAGTTGGAGCATTCTTTGGCACTGCCCTTCTTTGGGACTGGGATGTTGGCTGATCTTTTCCAATCCTCTGGCCACTGCTGAGTTTTCCAGACTTGCTGACATATGGAGTGTAGCACCTCAAAACAGCGCCATCTTTTAAGATTTTAAATAGTTCCACTGGAATGCCATCACCTCCACTGGCCTTGTTGTTAGCCAAGCTTTCTAAGGCCCACTTGACTTCACTCTTCAGGATGTCTGGCTCAAAGTTAGCAACCCCACTATCTGGGTTGCCTGGGACATCCAGATCTTTCTGGTATAATTCCTCTGTGTATTCTTGCCACCTCTTCTTTATGTCTTCTGCTTCTGTTAGGTCCCTACCATTTTTGTCCTTTATTATGTCCATCTTTGCACAAAATATTCCTTTAATATCTCACATTTTCTTGAACAGATCTCTAGTTTTTGCCTTTCTATTATTTTCCTCTATTTCTTTACATTTTTCATTTAAGAAGGCCCTGTTGTCCCTCCTTGCTATTCTTTGGAAGTCAGTATTCAATTTTCTGCAACTTTCTCCATCTCTCTTGCATTTTGTTTCCCTTCTCTTCTCTGCTAGTTTTAAGGCCTTGTTGGACAGCCACTTTGCTTTCTTGCATTTCCTTTTCTTTGGGATGGTGTTTGTTGCTGCCTCCTATACAATGTTACGAGCCTGGAGTTTTCTCGGCAAAGATACTGGAGTGGCTTGTCAGTTCCTGCTCCCTCCAGGGGGATCACATTTAGTCAGAATTCTCCACTATGACCTGTCCGTCTTGGGTCTCCCTGCACGGCATAGCCCATAACTTATCTCAATTAATCAAGCCCCTTCGCCACGACAAGGCAGCAATCCATGACGGGGGAGCAATCCATGAAGGGGTAGCAATCCATGAAGGGGAATGGATTATTATGGAGATGCAGATGTATGAGTTGAAAAATGAATAGATTTTCCCTCAGTGTGAATTTGAAACCTTAACAATGTTCATTAAGCTTGCAGTTAAAATGAAAACAAAACAAAAAACACTTTAGCATTCACTTTTTGTGAATATGTTCTCTCGATGTATAATCCCACCATTCAGAGAAATGCTGATTTAGTAGATTTTTAACAGCCAATCCTTTTCCATATGTTGTCAATTTAATCTTTGGGATTTTGCCAACAGTTATAAAGGCAGGTCCCCACTGCAGTCTCCCCCTGCTTAAGAAGGATGTGTGAAGATAGTTATCTAATCTGACTGAAGAGCTCTCAACCTCTGCCTCCAACTTCCTTTTTTGTCAGTAAAATGAATCTACTCATTACATTGGCATAATATGCTCTTTTCCCAATGGTTAGTTAGTGATCCTAAATAAATATATTTACTTGAAAGAAAGAAACATAGATTTTGGTACATCTGACCTGCAAGTAAGCATGCATGGAAAGAAAATGGAAGGCTGCAGTTTTAGACCCCCTAGTTTAGGAGTAATCCTTGCTGAACTCAACATAATGTGTCTATGGACAGAGTAATCTAGGATCACACTGTGAGAGAATTTAAAAATATTGTGATCAATTTGCTGATAAATAATTGAAAGTCATATTTTCTTATATCTTATGGTCCATTTTGGAAATGGGCTATGCTAAGGATGCAGGTAAGTTCCATGGACAACTGTAATTTGTGCAGCTTTCTGGACAAGATTGTCATCACTTACTTTGCAGGACAGTGAGGTTCAGTGTAACACTTCACTACTTTTCTGTTTTTGGCTTGTTTTCTGTCTGTTTTGAGAAGCTTGTGGTATAAATACTGAAGCTGATTTTGACAGGTTTTTGTAGAATTGGTGCTATTGCATCATGCAATCACAGTGGGCTCATGCAAACATTGCAAAAGTTTAAACTGTACAGCCTCTAGTGAACTGTAAGGCATTGAATAATTGTTTAGTGTCCTGTAGACTGAAATTTTGCTATTCTTAAAGAAATGATAAAGGAAGAGTCCTAAAATAATAGGCAAATGGGAAGAACCCTGTATAGCTGGTCAAGTCTGTTCCCTGAAGAGGTGTCACTCTATAATTATATTAGGCATGTACTCTTTTTGCATAGCCTGCACTCCATTGCCACAGATTAAACCACATCACATTCACTTTGTTAAATATCTCCTTTCATAGAAATAAAACCACAGTCTCCTTGTGGAAACTGATGCTGACAATTAAATGTGAAATTATTTCAAGCATGTCGAGAAATCATAGAATAGGGTCATTCAAAATTGCTGATTTTGGGTCATGCCTTTGGGATATAATTGTTTGTTATCACCTATGTCATATGAAAACAAATTATGTACCTTCTGGAGCAATGCCATTTCTACAACATATGATAAGAGCATGTCACAAGAGGATATGTACTTAAGTTACTTGCAGCTGAAACAATGAAAGATATTGAGAGTTCTTAAGATCAGTGAAATCCTTTGGATCTAACTTTAGTCCCACTGATATCATGGCTCTTCTCTTAGTATGATTAAGTCTGGAACCAAAGAATTGCTTTTCTAAAGGTTTACTTAAGTATACTAATATATGCTTCTTGGACTAGAGACATTAAATTATAAAATAATAAGAAAGTACATAATTTGGTTTCTAGTACTCCGTAGCAGTTGCCAATAGTTTATAAAAACTAGCACTTTCACTGAGGGGCTGTTGTGTGGATCTTTGTGGTTTGCACCACGGAATGGGCAAATCACAATAAATCCATAACATAGTGATTTGGCATTCTAGAATGCGTTTTTTCTGTCAATCTACTGCAACCATTATTTTCTAGTCTATAAAATCTCTTGTCCTAAACCCGAGGAATAGCTGTTCCACTGTTTTTCTTTTTGCAGGTGAAACAAAGACTGCAGTTTTATATCTAGTCTACCATATATCATGCTAAGCAACAACACAAAATAAACATACATGCAGCATGCTCCTTTGCTAAAACAGGGATATAGTCTTATCATTAAGCCTTTGAAATTTAGAGGTCTTCTGAATGAGAATTTACCTTATTTTTGTGTAGCTTTTACAATCCTTTAATGACATTTCTCATTGATTGATGATTTTGTGATCTGGATGTATGAGAAATTTTGCCAATGAATGCAAAAATAAATGCATTTCACAGTCTCTGGATATTTGCTTATTTGTAACTAGCACAAATAAACAAACAAACAAACAAACACCCTTCTATTAGGATGTGAAGTGCATGTGGACTGTTCCTTTACTTCTTGTCTGCCATGACCACACAAGAAGGTCTTTAAGTAAGGTCTTTAAGTATAGAGAAAAAACCTGTTTTCTGCTTCTACATAGCATCCCTAGTTGCAACACTTTACTACTTCATCTCCACGGAATGAATATCAATTTTAAGCTTCAAAGAGTTTCCTTTAAAATGAGATAAACTGGGAGCAAAACCTGTTCCTTATTCCTGCTGACCTCAGTTAGCAAGAATTAATCCTGTTGGCTTTGTCTCACCCTTACATCTCTTCTGTTCAGTCCCATGCTGGTTCTTGGTTGCTATCCGAATGCTGGGGCAAAGAATAATGGGCATTAGCTTATATACTCATGTCATCATAGAGATGAAAATGGCATCAAATCCAAATCCTGCTGATGCTGGAAATATACTGCTGCACCATCCTTTTTATATCCCCTCTCTCCACACTTTGGAACTTGACAGTCAATTCTGAATATATCTCTATACTGCTTTAAAATCAAATACTTCCACAGAGAGGTGGGTGAGGAGAAAAGAGAAAGAGGAAGCACGTGTCCATCAAGGTATATTTTGCAAAAGAACCAAATAGACACAGATCGAAAAACCTGCAGGCACAATGTGCTCATTGTGTTCCATGCTCCACCATCATAGGAACCCACAGGCATGTGGGGCACTGTCTTGTGCCAAGTCAAACCATTAGTCTATCTAGCCCAGTATTGTTAATGCTAACTGCAAGCATTCTTCCAAGCCTTTGGGCAGGATTCTTTCCTAGCCCTGCCTTGGACACTCCTACAGTATTATCTGGTTTTGTCCCCCATCCAAGTATTAACAAGATCCAACTCTGCTAAACTTTCAAAATCCAGTGAAATTAGTCCTATCTGGAGTGATAATCAATAGCAGGAGTCAAGACCTAGAGTGCTTTGAGTGCAATCGAGGTCTGGTAAGCGTTGCCAAACTGCAATTGCTCATCTAGAGGCAAAAGAGATGTGGAGAAGGTGACATTGATGGCAATAACATTTGTTGGGGGTTCACTTTAGCTGGTTGGGATAGATATTGGCCCCCTCCCCCAATTTTAAAAAAATCTCACTATCCAGCCACAATGTATATTAATTAAGAATCTATATTGCACAATAAACAGTGTAGTTCACCATTCCAGATCGACTCCATCTTCCTGCATTCATCTTTGGAGGCTGTAAAGATTTGTAGCCCTTCTTCCAACCAAAATAATCCTAGTTGCTTCCTGAAGTGCAAGTGTGATCCCAGAGCATGCTGAAGGGAAAGCGAAATGCGGCAAAGTCCAACCGATAGAAACGGCACAGCTGCTGCTTCTGCACGAGGGAGAGTTCATGAAACATGTGCTCTTCTAACCAGCTGTAGGCCCACCGGACTTTGGCATCTATGAACTCAGGTATCTGCATGTTCTTTGGAAGTCCAGTTCGGAGCATTAAATGGTGCACTTCATTGCCAAGTAACCCAAACATTAATATATAGTCATATTGGATAAGGCAGGGGTGGCACTGGGTTACTAATGGAGCCCATTCAGCTCTGTTTTTTTCAGAACTGTTGTCCAAGATGTTCTGAATAAACTCCTCAAAACTTAAGCCACCTGCCAAGCCATGCAAGTAGGCAGAGGTAAGTCTCTGAAAGGGTTCCCTGATAAAAATCACTTTTGTGTAGGATCTCAGCATACTCTCCATGGACGTCAGGTTATACAGACTCAGTGCTTTTTGGTTCCCAAATTGGTGGTGATAAGCTATGGGAATCTGCAAAGTAACATTTTCTTTCTCCTGCAGCATCTCTAATAGCTGCTCCCAGTCTTCCACGCCAGTGGCTGGTGTTCTGCAGTAAAGGAACTGTAGTTTGTTGTTCACCGTAATGGAAGACAGCAAGTGGGAAGCTTCATTTTGGGTAGAAGGAAGCCTGATATTTTTACCTGTTTTGCTGCAGAAGGACCTCAGTCTCTTTTTCCTAAGCTGCTGAATATGGAGAAGCATATCAAACATCGGTGGGAGATCTACTCCTTTATCCATAATGGACAGATTGTCTGCAGAACAGGATATGGAGAGAAGAGTTCATCCAAGCAAAGAAGAGTTCATCCAAGCAAATGACTTGAGGATGAAATACCCCCCCCCCCAACATTTAAGACAGTTGTGTACAGTTTGCTGCCTTGGTACCAGATAATACTAACAATGAACTTCTGAAATGGACTTCAGTGGTACTGGCAGTTTCCTGTAATGAGGTGCAGAACTATATAAAATGTTGCTGTATTATTATGATCCTCATGAAAAGAACTTAAGGAAAATAAGCATATATATATATACTTGCCGCACCATTGCCAGTGGCTTCTGGCATATATACGTGTTCATTTTCCTTCAGTTCTTTTTATGAGGATCATAATAATATAATAACATTTTACACAGTTCTGCACATCATTATAAAAAACAGCCAGTACCAATGAAGTGAATTTTAGTAGTTTATTATCAGCAATATCTGATACCAAAGAAGCTGAATAATTGTATGCTATTCCCCTACACATACAGATATATCTATCACCAACAAACAGAATGAAACAATTGTTGTGCCTTTAAGACTAACAGTCATTTTAACATGTTTATAATTTATTATGTATACCACATTAATATGTGTGTCAGAATATAAGTATACAATATAACATACACACATGCCATACTATAACATAGTTTAGTTTAATATGTATTACATAACGCATATTGTATGATATATGTCACTGGTATACTATGGTATAGTACAATAATGCTGTAGTATAATGTTTTGAACATCTGGGAAATATCCTCTAGAAAACCAGGACAAATGCGTTTCCAAACACCACAGCTTAACAGATTCCACCAGGCTAGTCAATACAGTAGCTCCTATTTGTCAACACTCCCAGGAAATTATTATTCAGGTGGTTGACATGATAGGGCTTTTTAACAACACCCAGGGCCATTCACCAAACTACAATTCCCAGGATTCTTTGGAGGAAGCTGCTACAATAGTCATGTCTACAGCACAGAAGTGTAGACTTAACACTTGTTTTGTTTATTTTTTGAAATATTAGTAAGGAAAGGGTTAGCGATACAAGCTGTGGAGCTAGTGTTGAGGTTGTTATAGAGGTGATGAAAGCTGTCATTTGTTAAAATCCCCTCTCCCCAATAACCCCCCCCAATAATTAAATGTATCAGATCACTCAGTTGAAACAGGGACATCAACGGCTTCAAGATAAGTATGCAATGCTAAAATTCAGGTTAGAGTTCCTTTTCAAACTGTGTGTGGAAATATCTTACCTTGGTTTCTCCAGAGAAGATGACCCCACCACAAAAGGAAAATGAAACCAAGGAAAGCTAAGATGAAGACTCGATGGAGGAAGCGCATTGTCTGGCCTGGTCTACCAATCAAGTGTTACTAAAGAAAACTGAATAAGTAATCTAAAGTAATGTCAGCAAAAGTGCCCTGGATGTTTACTTTGGGAAGAGGTGACCGTCAGGGAGGAAGGTTAAAGCACTGTTTGTACATGGATGGCTTTGGCTTGCTGTTATATCTATAAACAAAAACCAGAGGAATTCAGATTAACCAAAGAGTCCTGAATCACTGCTGTTTCCAGAGCTCAGAAAAGTCATGTTTTAGTCTAAAACTCCCAATGCCTCCCAGCAAATAAACCCCTAACTTCTGCAAGCACTCCCATGTGACTATGGATGAAGTTAGGGGAATCTGGAATCTGCTTCAGCTTCACTGCATTTTCATATTGTGGAAGAATTAATTTTAGAAAATTGTCAAGGCTGCCACCTGGACAGTTGTTTGTACAAAATCAGGGACATTTGTTTGATTTTTTTTAGTGATTATGGGACGGAGCAAAGAGATGCTTCTCACCAAGAAGGCAGAGCCTCCAAGGATTCTTCTTATTCCATCCAGTGTTCATAGGGTTAAAAAGGTGGGCCACAATTTGAATTGAGGAAAGGGGAAATCAAGATCAATACAAGTTCCCAGCCTACTTGGGAGCATAGCCATTTGTGACAGTTTCTTAAAAGTTTAGTCAGTCCTGATTTCTACATTCAGTATTCAGGTACAAAGTAGGTTGGGGATACTCTGCATTTATGCATTGTTTATCATCTACGTGGCACCACCTCCTTTGGCCACAAGTGCTCAAGAGTATAAAGCTGTAGGGAAAATATCCATGAACATTGGCTGGAGATGTGTGTTTCTGTTGTGACCACTGGCTAATCTCTGTTGTATGTATGGGATCCTGGGGAATAATAGTAAAGCATGACACACTAGCCAATCATATTGCTGCCTGAACATTTATGCATAGCAAGTCTCTTGATCCTCACAAGTACTGCCTGGACCACCACATTTTTAGAGAGCAAATAGGGACAGCACGGCTGGTGATATCCACTGTACGTCATCAAGAGATTTGGAACAAAGTGTCATTGAATGCAATTTTTAAGTTAATATAAATTTTAATGTTTGCCTGCTTTTAAGTGTTCAGTTGTATTTTAATTATTGTATAGTTTAATTGTTTTTTATGTTTAACTTATTATGTTTTCAGTTCTGTTCTTTTAATATGGTTTGGGGTCCTCTTATAAAAACAAACAAACAAATGAAATATAGGCTGATGAACACAACTCTACAGCAGTCTTCAGTCATGTCCCAACTGCACTGGAAGAAACACCAGTGCAGACCAGAAGCAGGAACAAATATGTTCCAGCTGGAAACAGGCAGAGGGAAAGAAAAAGAAATACCTACCAGTTGACATCACTGTTGTTAGAGGAGAAGACCATGTCCAACCACAATATGCACTGTTGAAGACTGAGGAAACAGTGGGGGATCTGAATTCGAAGTGGACTCATGAGCTACATATTTTGTTGCTCCTTTAACTTCTTATATTCCACTTTGAAATTTTCAGGTCTAAGTAGTTCCCAAATACTCTCAGGCCAAAATCTTTGACCTCATGATTTACAAACACGTTAAGGAAGTCATGCAATGTGTTTTCTCTCTGACACACTGTACTTTACACATCCAGTTCCATGACAGATTACAAGACCCATTTCACAATCAGTGTTTGCGCTCTCACAAAAAAGAGGACTTGTCAGGGAGGGGAAATTGTTCTAACATCTCTCTCTCTTTGTGTCATATACTGTCAAGTCATGCCTTACTTAGGGTGACCCCAATAGGGTTTCCAAGATATGTGTTTTTGCCATTTCCAACCCCCACCAGAGAAATTTCCATAGGTCCCCTGTGTCCCTATATGACATTCTGTCCAGGACACTACACAAGCTCCCTCTAAAGTATATACCAGAAGTGAACACCAGTGCTCAGTTATTGTGATGGCTGCATCTCATCTCTTCCCACTGAGGAACAGCAGGCAAAGGGAAAGGAGTTTAGGTCAAACATCATGGCCTCAAAAATGGTTTGAGTTCTAATATCATTCCTAGTAGAAATTAGCCACTGGTAAGGGACGTGGTGGCGCTGTGGGCTAAACCGCAGAAGCCTGTGCTGCAGGGTCAGAAGACCAAGCAGTTGTAAGATCGAATCAACGGGACGGAGTGAGCGCCCATCGCTTGTCCCAGCTCCCGCCAACCTAGCGGGTCGAAAGCATGCAAATGCGAGTAGATAAATAGGGACCACCTCAGTGGGAAGGTAACAGCGTTCTGTGTCTAAGTCGCACTGGCCATGTGACCACGGAATATTGTCTTCGGACAAAACGCTGGCTCTATGGCTTGGAAACGGGGATGAGCACCGCCCCTAGAGTCGAACACGACTGGACAAAAATTGTCAAGGGGAACCTTTACCTTTACCTAAGATCTTTTTCTTTTTTTTGGATCATGGTCCAAGCATGAGGGAGGTACCTCATCCCAGAGTGTACAAGGAGAGCTTTGTTGTCATTTCAGGAGATCCCTGAAGAAATCTAAAAGTATACTAAAATATAAAATATGAATGAGAGAACCAGATGTCTGAAAACATGTGGGAATGGGAAAACCCAGAGAGAGAGAGAGAGAGAGAGAGAGAGAGAGAGAGAGAGAGAAACATCATTGGCTGTACTTCCCTGTCCAGCATTCATTCCATGGCAATCTTGGGACCCTGTGTGGTACAGCACAAAGAAATTGTACTGTGTTCAAATCCTTGCTCATCAGGGATGACTGGGCTTCCCTTTGTGCGAGTCCTCCACTCCCAGTTCCGCCCACTCACAGGGTTCCTGTGAGGAGATTGAAGGGAAGCAAGTCTGCGGCCCTATTAATAAGGAAACAGTAAATAATTGCAAGATGCTGAGTGTGTACTCATGTCATATATGGAATATGAGTCTAGCATTTGAGTTAAAAAGTCACTGTAGTCATTTAATGGCTTTAAAATGAAACAGCCACTAAAATCTCATTATCTTTTCCTTGTACTCTTATGTTTCCACCAGAGGGTGCTAAATTCATGATAAACGAGAGCAAACTTCATAAATGTGTCTCATTAGGAAAGGTGGTAGTGATCATGGTGGCGATAACGAGCCAAGCATAACTTTCTTCATCTTAGAATTTAAAAAGCAGCTAGTTCCTCTGCTAACAAAAAATGCTAGTGTCAGCAACCTGTTTGGCAAATCAGGAGTGTAGGGGTGCTGCATCAGGAGTGCTCCACATTTGCTCTGGTGCTCTCAAGCTTCCGGTTATGCGAGTGGTGGATTGTCCTGTTGAAAACAGCAGGGATTTCCACTTGCAGATGAGTGTGACAATTTTTTATGCCTTGGGCTGAGGGTTAATCCAACATATACCATCTATGAGCATACTTAGAACCACTTTTGACAGGATTTAGCATACCAATGCTCTTACCAACAGGGTAATGCTGCTGGAAACAGTGAATGCTGTTGAACCATCCAAAAAGCATAACCAGCCTTAATTTTTTAAAAATCATGTTCTCATATTGGGATCACAAAAAAGTTTAATATATTCACTATCTTAAAAGAACTGGTACATACACTGCAAGAATGTCTAAACACATACAGAATATATATTTCTCTATATAACATTAATAAAGAGATAAATTGGGCCCGGTTCTCCATCTTCCCCATCAACCTGAAGTCTATAAGGAATGTAGTTTCCCTAGTTATGTGCCATCAAGTCAGAAAAGACTTATAGCAACACTCATAGGGCTTACAAAGTAAAGTGAGATATCAAAGGAGTGGTTTGACCAGTTCAACTCTCCCAGTTTGAGCTTCTGTGGTGAAGTGGAAATTTGAATCCTGGAGTCCAGATACCTAGTCTGTCACTCTATTTATTACACCAAAGTGTGTACTACAGTTTCACCTTAGAAACCAACAAAATAAAGGTTTGGAGAAGAGATGTAATTAGCTTGACTTTGACCCATCCGTCTGGTTAATGTTCAAAATATTTATTCTAGACATAAACTTAAAGTGAGTGTTGGAAGGATAGGGGAGCATGGAGGTTGTGACTGATACAACTAGATATTTTAGAGGGAGAACACGTGTATGAGTTTAGAATATTCCTGGCAAATTCCTAAACCTAAAACAGAAAAATGGTTTTTATACCTCTTTGTATGCACAGTCTACCATGAGTGACATAATATTGCTCACTGTGAATTTGCCTTTTAACATGGCTCTATGTTTGCAAGCATGCACTTTTATTACATGTGCACACATCAGCTCAGGAATTTCCTTTTTTGGACTACAGCTCCCAGAAACCTTCAGCCAAGTTGTCGGAGATTCTGAGAGTTAAAAGATGAAAGGCAACTTTTCCCGGTTCCTTTCAAAATGTAATATTCCAACCTCTGAGCTTGAAGCACCAAGGACAGAGGTGTTCAACACTAAATCTATAGATCACAACCAACTCACTCTCTCAGTTCTTATAACCACTTTATTCTTATCAACATACATCTGGAAGAAAGGATGCTACCTAGGTACAATTAATTGCAAATCCCAATGAGAAATTATTGGACTTAGATTTAAGCCAAAAGGTGGCCTCCTATCTCCATGGGCACAGCTTTGTTTCCCTCTGTCCTCAAGTCCCTTCCTAGTGGCCTCTCACTCTGTTAGTTTTCTCTTAGAAGGAGGGATGAGATGGACGGGAAGCTCATTGGGAAGCTCGTGGCCTTCTAACTTGACTTTTATGAGATGATTAGCCAAAGCAAACTCCTCATCATCTAGCATCCCATCCTTATTGATATCAGACAATTTCCATATCTTGCCCAACACTGTGTTAGGAAGTTTGGACTTCACCAACTCCTTCTTGGCATTAGCACCAGTTATTTTCCCATCGACTGGTGACAATGTGTAGAAGATTTCATCATACATGGGCTTATCTCTGGCCACCACCCAGTTTGCGTCATCAATTCCTTCCCCTGCTCCTTCACCATATCCATGTCCAAATGGGCTATGCAGGGTGCCTTCAAAGGCTCCTCCTTTCACCATTTGGACAGATCTGTGGCTCTCCTCCTGGCGTACCAACACCATGAGCTGTGCAATGTCATTGGCCAGCATATCATCTACGGCATCCAACAACTTGCTCTTTATAGGCTGGAACTTGCTGAAATCTTGAGCTTGCAGCTGCTCCTGAAAGACACACAACAGACAGAATAAGGTAGGAATTTTGTTATCATTATGAATAATCGAGGGGGCCACAACAGCAATCCATGGGTTTGCAGCCAAAGTCTGGTTACAGCCATTCCACCAATTCCTCCACACCTCACCTTAACCCCAGCCCAAGATTTGCAGCCCATTTGTTAGCTTGAAAACTAGCTTCACACGTCAGGGTTAAGAGCCTCCAGAGACATAACAACATTTTCATTCTTTTCTAAGATAAGCATATTCCATTGTTTGCCAGCTAGCAATGGCCATTTTCCTTTTTAAAAAGTATAGCTAGATTTATTATTCTAGCCTGGAAGCCTAATGCCAGATTCCATATGTTTATTTGTAAGGTGACACATGAACTGATAGTGTTGCCATGTAAGATTGCCAGTGTTAACTACCAGTCCAGAATTTAGAAGTAAAAACAATTTTTCCTTCTCCCAAAAATCTGAAGAGGGAACTGGGCTTTCTCCTGGATAAAAACATTATTTCTAAACTGGAATGCACTAGTGTAGGTGGTAGGAGAGTTCAGTTTATTCAGTATGGTCTCCATTGTTACTGTTCTCAGTTTTTCTATTGCTTCTGGCACTCACCTGCATCTTCTTCAGATTAGGAAAGTCTCCTGGTGAAATCTGATGCTCCCGTTCGATCCGTCCATAGATCACACCCAAATTGCTCACAAGCTCTTTCTTCTTATTGTCTTTGCCAAACACTGATGGCATTTCCTTCTTAAGTGAGCTAATGATATATGCGTGAACCTACGAGTATCACAAAGGTAGGTAGGTAGGTACTTAGGTAGGTAGGCAGGCAGGTTGCCATGACATTGCAAGTATATCATATAGGTAAAGGTAAAGGTTCCCCTTGACATTTAGTCCAGTCTTGTCCAACTTTAGGGTGCGGTGCTCATTCCCGTCTCCAAGTCACAGAGCCAGCGTTTGTCCATAGACAGTTTCTGTGGTCATGTGGCCAGCATGACTAGAGACAGAATGCCGTTACCTCCCCACCATGGTGGTACCTATTTATCTACTCGCATTTACATGCTTTTGAACTGCTAGGATGGCAAGAGCAGGGACAAGTGACGGGAGCTCACTCTGTTGCATCGATTCGATCTTACGACTGCTGGTCTTCCAAACCTGCAGCACAGAGGCTTCTGTGGTTTAACCCACAGTGCCACGACATCCCTTTAAGTATCTCATATAATCAAACATAATTAACACTTCATAGTCTAGATTCACATTGCCTTCAAGCTGTGACCTTTAATGGATTAAAATCTCCACTTTGTGACTTCAAGAACAATACAGCCTTCATAGCATGAAGAACATTTAGTTTGCTTTCTACTGAACTATTTTTAAATTTATTTAAGAATTTGTTGTATAACTTTTTGTGTGAAAATTGTAGCAGTATAAAATACAATAAAGCCAATTAGTAAGATAATGAAGCACTGACAAAACAATAGAACAGTTGATTAAAATAATCAGAGTGAGTGACAATTTTCATGATTAGGAAAATCTTGAGCAAAATAAATGAGTCTTCATTTGACTGTGGGAGCATCGCACACTAGGTGCCCAATGGATGCCAGTAGGGGATACCATTTCATATAGTGGAGACTAGAGATGGGCATCACTGGTATGGTGGCCCAGCACAGTTCATTCACTGGCTGCACAGCTGATCTGCAGTTCGGCACCCTGCCCCCTCTGGTCAGCACCCTCTCAGAGGCAGCGCCCCGGCTTCCCTGCCCTGCCTTCTCTAGTCACTGCCTCCGAGTGGGCAGATGGGGTGCCGAACTGTGGATCTGCTGTGGCTGGTAAATTAACTGTGTCAAACCCAGTGGTTCCTACCCATCTCAAGTGGGAACCAAAGCAAAGAATGCCTATTTCTATGCTGCAATTAAATGAATTTCACTAAGCAGATCCTCCACTCACAATGTAAAAATCTTTAGAAATTACAGAAAAGCCAATTGAGCATGCTGATGGAGAAACTCACCTTGGCTAGCCGTGCCCGTTTAATGAGATCATTCAGTTTCCTAAGGGCTGCATTGCGAGGCAGGCTTTGCATATCTCTGAAGAGATCCTGCTCCTCTGCTTCAAAGAGCTTCCGATTATCTGGAATAAGCAATGGGTGTGACCAGAAAGAACCAATGTACACCCTAACTACTTCAGGGGTGTTCACAATCTTCCCCAGTGACCACATGAGAGCACCATAAACCCTCATAAGCTGCTGGGTCTCAATCTGATCTGCTTTGTTGAGTACTACTCTCATTTTATCCTCATGGTTTTTCAGGGCTTTGATGACGTCTGAGAATTCATCTGAGATATCTAACTTGTGAGCATCAAAGAGGAGAATGATACGGTCCACTCTTTCTGCAAACCACTCTAGGACAGCAGCAAAGTCATAGCCTACAGAGGAAAAAAATAAAAATGCCCATAAGAACAGTGACAATGTCATCTAGGATGCCTTTACAGTTGCTCTTGGAACAAAAAGTATTAAACAACAAGCACTGGGGAATATAGATACTGTAAGTGCCCTTTAATTATCTTCTTCATTTGGTCTCCACTTTTCATAACTTGGATGAAATCCTGTTGAGTAATTATGCAAATAGCATAACTTTTAGATGCAGATTGACAAAAGCTAAGAAATCTCTGTAGGCAACATATGTCACATGCCATATAGTGTGATTTAGTAAGCAACAGATAATATTAATATCTATGGAGATTTCTTAACTTACAACAATTTGCTTCCAAAAATATACCATTTATGTAATTGTTCAACAGGATTCCTGTTGTCATTCCAATAATCATTCTGCCAAGAAATCTAAGATTTATCTTGATAAAATTTGAGACCTTGACTAATGCAATAGACACTCTTTCTCCAAGAAGGATATTTATATGTTCACAGACATACTGTTATCATTGCCAGGAAGGTGGCTGCCAAAGGGGATAGAACAGTAGAAGAAATATGCATGTCCAAAATTACTACAAACATGCAGAAAGATAACAATTGAACAATCTGCAGAAGTAGAGGTCAACAGACCAACTTTCAGAAGGACCTGTGTACTGAGAGTGAATTCTTAGTAATTGCTTTGAAAGGTCTTTGTTCCATGTAGACTACGTGTGTCTCATCAATGATATGCATATAATTGCTTAAGAACCACTGATCTAGATGAACATCTTGACAAAGACAGATCTCTTTCATCACAAAGTAAATACAGATAATGTAAAACATTAAGTCTTTCTCAGTGTGAGTCCTGTATCATGCAGGGCTATGAACTATCAAGGACCCATAGGACTATGTGGCAAATACATGTAAGAATGGAGCATTGATTCTTGTTTCAGATTTAGGGATAGAATAGTGAGTTGAGGACTTAATAAAATTAAATTAGAATTCATCTAGTTGATCAACAAGTGTCTGCTATCTGCAAAACGGCACTTAGGATAATGTGGCCTTCCACAACCTAAACCTATCCTACAGATATGTTGCATTACAACTCTCATTATCCCTTGCCAGCATTGCTCATGAACATGTGCTGATGATGGTGGGAAATGCTGTTCTAGTGTAATGTACCGGAATGCTTTACATGACAGTGTTACAGTTAGGATGTGATAGGATGATGCTCCAAGAGTTCACTGACACTAGCCTTTTGCTTGGGGTCAGTCTACCTTTGTAATGCAACTGTAACAAAACAAATTCCATCCTATATGATCAGTGCTCTCAAAGGCTGTGGATAATCAGGCTCGTCAGAGACCCCTGAACCAAACTATGCACGCTAAATCGTTCTCCAAAAGAAAAGAAAGATAAACAGAGAGCAAAAGTGACACCGTGTTGGCTAAAGCAAACACTTCTAAAGCAAATGACTTTCCACAGCAGTGCATCTGCACTCCTTCTGCAGCCAAGAAAGATAGGCACGCCTCTGAATTCCAGCACTAATATTTATACTAAGACAAAGCAGCCACAGACTGCGCTTCAGTTTCTGCATTGCTCAAGTGCTCATTTTACAATGAAGGGGAATAGACAGATTCAAATCTCTTTATATGACTGCATAATAGAAGTAATTTGACTGCATAATAGAAGCAATTTCAACTAAAACACTCGAGTCACCCATAGAAAGCAAAAAATGATCACACAAGAATAGAATGGCACTTCAAAGTTTCCAAGTGATATCTTCAGTATTTTAAAACCTGCTTCCAAGAACTAAACATCTCTCCCCACCCGATTTTCCTATCCCTAATATTTTGTTACTTTTGCAATCATGCCACATAGTTTTGGCCAGCTGTTATACCATTCACATGTTTATCTGGACTTACAACATTCTTCAGACAGGAATACTTATTGGCCAAGCTGATTTCATGTGTATTCTTTCATTCTACCCAGAGACTGTATTAAGATCTTTGCAGACAGGCCTTTCTCTCAGTCCCGCCACCTCTACAGGTACATTTGGTAGGGACACAGGAGATGGCCTTCCCTCTTCCTGGTGCCAGACTCTGGAACTCCTTCCCACAGGAGGCCATATTGGCCCAATCTTTCCGTTCGTTCTGCAAGCAGACAAAGACCCTTCTCTTCAGGCAGGCTTTCCTTTAAATGACTGGTGGGCCAAGATAATTTTTAATGGGAGCATTTTATTCTGTGTTTTACTTAATATTGCTCTTTTTAAAATATTGCTCTTATTGTGAATTTTAATATATTTCTTTAATGCTCTTAAAATATTGTAATAGATATATTTCTTTAATGCTCTTAAAATATTGCAATAGTTAATTATTTGTCTTTTAACTTTGTTTCTTTCAATACTGTAAGCTGCTTTGGATAGGTTGTTGTGGGTTTTTCAGGCTCTTTGGCTGTGTTCTGAAAGTTGTTCTTCCTGACGTTTCACCAGTCTCTGTGGCCAGCATCTTCAGAGGACTGGAGTAGGAACTCTGTCCATGCTCTGTTGCTGTTTGACAGAGTTCCTACTCCAGTCCTCTGAAGATGCCGGCCACAGAGACTGGTGAAAAGTCAGGAAGAACAACCTTCAGAACATGGCCAAAGAGCCCGAAAAACCCACAATAACCATCAGTGGCTGTGAAAGCCTTCGAGAATACACTGCTTTGGATACTTTAGGAGAAAAGTGGCATATAAATATTTTAAACAAACAAACACACATCTGTTCCTTTAAGATGTTTAGCAAGGTGGTTCAGTACTCAGGAAAATATGGTTCCTATTAGTCACTCCATATTTTGACCAGCTAAATCATTTACAGAAACATGAACTTGATAGCATGTATCCACTGGTGCGACCAATATTGACATTAACACTCACTAATCAATATATAACTCAGTCAAGGCTGGGGTTTACTAAAAAGCCCATAAACATCCCACGATCAGAAGATGCTTCTTGACTTTACCTCGGCTTATTCTTTGTTTCTCCCCGGACAGGATTCCTGGTGTATCAATAATACTGATACTTTCTAATACTGGGTTTGGCAGCTGAGCACACACAAATCTAACAAGAAAACAAACAATATAAGAAGATATTACAGTCAAGAGGAAGGAAGGAAAACATTTAGACTAGAGTCTGGGAGTGGTCATCCAGTAAAGAACTTTTAAAAGCTCTTGCTCATTTAATTCTGTTGGAGCTTTCCTCTGCGAAGCACTTCTCAAATGCTTAGTGAGTCCAATCACAAGAGCTTAGGCCAATCTGCAAACAGCATGCACGGCGATTCCTGGTACAGTGAACTCATTGCTTGTTGCTGCTTGTGAAAAATGTGCAGTATCTAATGTAGTTCAGCGAGGACAGTCTACTCCAGGCCTATGTATCAAGGTCAGGATTTGAAGCTCAGTCAAACAGATTACAAAATGCCAAGTGCAAGGGTGACCTTTCCTGAAAGGACACAGTTGGTACAGATAATCTAATGCAAACATTCCAGCAACCTTTATATACTGGTACATGTAAATACACCCCCCTCTTTTTAGACCTAGCTTTTACCAGGATGTTTATTCCCATAACTGGATTGTACCACTTCAGACTGCAAATAGGGGTTGACATAATGGAATGTTCAATAACAATAACTTAGAAACAGTTCCTCAATTACTTGTAAAGGAATTACTGTAATTTTGTTCTGCATTCATGGGAATCACATGACCTGCCACATGAAATGACGTGAAACCCCAGGCTCACCTTTATCTAAAAGATTAGATCACAAGCCACCATCCAGAATCCTATTGCTGATGTATGTTCATCTAAGACAGGGGTTAGATGAACATACCAAACTATGGCCTGTGGGCCACATCTGGCCTGCCTTGCCTTTTTATCCGACCCAGCGAACGCTCCAGGCTCAGGTCCACAGGCTCAGGTCTGGTACCTTCAGCCTGTGCATGTGTGTGTGCATGTGTGTGTGTATGTGTTCCTTTGGCCCTCAGAAATGTGGAAAACATATGATGTGGCCCTCATGCTGAAAAGTTTAGAGGCACCTGATCTAAGAGAATGAAACCATCATTTTATTAATGAGCCGAAATTTGCTGCTAAGAGTTTCGTGGTTTCCTTTAAGCCAGAATAAACTGGCAATAGTTGCATTTGTGCATGTGTTTTAGTTCTAACTCCAAATATGGCAACATCCGTTGGTTAAAAGGGCTGCACAGAGAATGCCACTATATATGACTCCTCTGTATAAAAAAAGAGGAATCAGAATCTCTTAACATAAGCTTGTGCAGTTTTGAATGTTTTGGAAAGACTGCTACAATTATTTTATTGTCAAAAACAAACAAACAAAAAATTAAATGCAGGCCTCATGTGGAAAACATGTGACCACTGCTCTCTGTTCACTCTTCCAATGAAGTATACTGTGGAGAAACATGTTTTCATGTGCTAGTTTAGGTCTCACTGCAAATGTCTTTGTTTTTCCTTCTTTAAAGTCCTCCTCTGTAGGAATCTGACCTTCAGTCATCTCAGCTAGTGAGCATCTAAGAAACAGCACTGTGCTAATTAAATGCCAGAAGGTCAGAAGGCAATTTGGATCATTATGATCTCTCTCTCTCAATCAATCTCTCTCTCTCTCTCTCTCTCTCTCTCACACACACACACACACATCATATACATATGATTTTCTCTAGTGAATTTGAGAAAAGTACTGAAGATCTTATAAGCACTGAATGAATAAAGATGCATTTTACATGTATTTTACATTGCCACAGAAGATGGTTGTGTAGGAAGATATTTATGCAAAGAAAAGTTTGTCAATATCTGGGACATCAAACAGATTCCAAGTTATGCGGTTCCTTTCCACACCAGGACAGTACAGCATTTTGGTGTAACTGAGGTAATTTCAAAATGCCTGCGCTTGGACCCAGAAATAAATGAACAGGTTGAATTAGGACTGCATTTGATTTTATCGTACAAAACGAGATCTCAATGAAACTAATGGATAGCTCCATTAGAAATAGGAATCTGGCTTAGGAATTTGGATGCAGGGCCACAGGTTGGGAGCCCAATTCCTCACTGTGCCTCCTTTATAGGGGTTGAACTTGAGGATCCACAGGGTCCCTTCCAGCTCTGCAGTCCTAAGATTATCATTATGATATGAACCAACCTTCTTAGGTCATGATGAGGCTGCTGAGTTTGATGTACTCTGGGCAAGTCCAGAGCAGAGTTTAATTTCTTCCTAATTCATCCTTCTTCTGGCGAAGAAGCCTTGCTAAGTCAATCGACCAGAGAGCCCAGTGTTGGCCCTTAAAGGACCAGAGGAGTCCAGAATTATAGCTCTAGAACATAAGATTAACTCATTATCTTAAAGGTGTTCTAGGTTGCTCAGATAACCTCACGCCTACTTGGATCATTTTTCTACACATTGCTGCCACATATGACTAATTGAAATCACACTCAGCAGTAACACTTTCCCACCAAATGCCAATGTAAAGCAGGCAAATCCACCACCATCCAATCCAACATAGGCAATTAATGAACAACCAAAACATTTCTACTTGGCCGCAAGATAAGCAGTTAATCCAGAGTAAGCAACTTGTAGCTCTCCAAATATTGTTTGACTGCCAATTCCATTGGCTCTAAACAATTTTGTTTTGATCAGAATCTTCCTAAATTTGCAAAATTTGCAAAAGGAAAAAGTAAAAGTAGCAAATTTGCTCAACTCTAATAAGACACCACAAATTCATACCGATAATGAGAAATTCCCACATAGACTTTTGCAAACATCAAGATTTTTAAATTTGCTATTATGATTTTTTCCCCTCAAAAAGGGGATTTCAGGAGGAAGGAGCATGTGGATGACATAAAGCTTCTTTAATTTCTATGCCCAGGCAAAATAATAGATGGCTTCCAAACATTGTTGGATACAGTTCCTATCAACCTTAGCCAGTATAGTCAATGGTGGCATGTGAGTTGCTGTCCAAAATGTCTGGAGCCGTACATTGCCTACCTTGTTGTTTATAATAATACTAAAACATCCAAAGTACAATGGCAACTCTTAGTATTTATATAAGCTGCTATCTTGTTCAATATTTACGTACATGCAAAGATCTAAAAGCAGAAGGTTCCATGCTGATTTGATGAGGTGCCAGCTGCACACATCTAGGCACATGACTAGCAGTTGGTTAGATTAGCACAACAGTTGAATTTCTTCATGTGTAAATATTGAAAAGGATACTGGCCATAGTGTTTTAAGCACTTCTCATTCTTAGGTAGCATCAACTTCTTTCCTCTAGTTGTTTGGATCAGATTAAACAAGGCTGCCTACTTTTAGAAGGCAAAATTTGTTGTTATTGTTATTAGGTAGGATATTTAATGGTTTAGGTATCTGGCTGTGGTGGCTGCTGAGTTTGATGTACTCTGGGCAAGGATATTTAATGGTTTAGGTATCTAGCTGTGGTCCCAGAGGTTGGCAGTTTGATTCCCCACTGTATCTCCTTGATGGGCTGGACTTGATGATGCCTTCCAGCCTTGTAGTTTTAAGACTATTGTTATAAGAACTAGCTGGATAGCACAGTGGTTTAGGTATCTGGCTGAGGACATTATGATAATGTGCCCTCAAGTCAGAACTGACTAGAGTGATCCTATTAGGGCTTTCAAGGTAGCAGAGATATTTAAGGAGAGGTTTTATTTGGCTGTTGTGGGTTTTTCGGGCTTTTCGGCCGTGTTCTGAAGGTTGTTCTTCCTAACGTTTCACCAGTCTCTGTGGCCGGCATCTTCAGAGGACAACACTCTGGGTTGTGAGGCCAGAGCACAGAGTGCTGTCCTCTGAAGATACCGTTCACAGAGACTGGTGAAACGTTAGGAAGAACAACCTTCAGAACA